ATGTCGGGGTCGACCCGAATTTTCACAGCATTGGGTTCAGCCGACTCCGTAACAGTCACTGGCTCGGCGGCCGGGTGGGACACTTCAGCATTCCCCTCGAGAGCGGCCACGGCCATCCTGTCGGCATACTCCACCACCTCCTTCTTGATCTCGGCTAGGGTCAGGGTGTCGAAGTGTTCAATGGTGATGTCGGCAAGAGTGTCGATTCTCCCTCCTTTCTTTCTCCCCCTCGAGAATCATGTCCATAAAAGCCTTCCTAAGGACAGCTCGCCTATCTCGACTCAAAGGAGGTAGAGCCGAGGCCGTCACGTCGGGCTCGGACTCGTTCAAGATACACTCAACGTAGTTTCTCTCGTCAACGTCAGTAGGGATACGCATCTAAGGGATTGAAGCATTGAAACCAAACCTCTCGATCTTTGTGAGCAGAATGAGTTTGAGGTCGCCCATGCTGTATAGGCTGGAATCGAGACAGTCAATAGCCCAGCGGAGATTCAAGCAGGTGTTTAGTTCGATGTCGCGCTCCATCTCCTCGGAATTCTTGAATCATGTTTTCCCGAGTTCTTTGCCTGCTTCGATACCCCGGTTTCACATGAGCGTCCCGTAGTCAGTTTTTTCCCTTTCGAGCATGACGACTTCGGAAGCATGGAGCTCCTTCAAATGGATCAACTCGGTTTCTTTCTCAGCTCGGTCTTGGCGGGTCTTCTGATGATCTCCGCGCTCCTTCAGGAGTTTGCCGTCGATTTTTTTGACTTTACTCTCGGAGTCAATCACTTGGTTGGACAGCTTGTACACCTCAGCCTCCAAACGTTTCTTGTCGGCCAGCAGTGCCTCGATCTCGGCTTGCGCCACGGCTAGCTAGTCCGACTTCTCTGTCATCGCGGCTTCAAGACCGGCCTTCTCGGATTGCAGAGAGGAGATCTGGACATCTCGATCACCACCTTATCCTTTTTGTCCTCGAGTTCAGTGGCGTTCGAACGAAACACGTCCTCCACGGCGGTCAAACTCACTAAAGCTCTTCCCACGTACGCCTTTGCATAGCTTAACTTGTAGTCGGACATCGACGAAAACCTTGCCTCCGAAAGTGGGTCCCACGCCATCATTGGAGTTTTGGCCGCTTCGATCTTGGGATATGCAACCGAGTGGAACTGGGTGAACCACTCCTCTGCCACCTCGGAAGGCAAATTGAGGTTAAGGACTCTTTTCTGGTCAATCAGCAAGTATGACGAGCTCCCATCTCGGTGTACCGGGGCCTCCATCTCTGCCAAAAGTTGGCCACCATCATGCATCATCTTAGATCGTCGCTCCCCGGCGACGTGTGACTCACCCTCAGGCTTCTTCTTCGCTTGCGTTTATTTTGTGTCGAGGGCTCCTAGTGGCCTTCTTCTCTCTCTTCCTCGGCACTAGACACGATGATGTGGATGTCGGGGGCACCTCCGCAGTCTCTCTCACCTCGGGGCCCCAACAGACTGGGGTCGCCACAACGAGCTCGGCCCCCAGGGTTTGGTCGGCAACCGGGCTACGACCCGACGTCGGGACCAGCTTTGGCTCCTCGGTCGAGGGCACCGATTTGATGACGGAAGCAGCAGCACCTCGGCCGGGGGCGGAATTCTTCACAACTTGAAGGAACTTCAATCGACCCATCTCTATTTCTTTCTTGAACTTAAGTTGAACGTCGGTGTGGGGGACTTTGCGTCGGAAGTTCTGGGCTTCCTCGACTGACTTGAATCCGAAGAAACCGAGAATGGGATAGTAAACTGAGAATCCACACCAAAGAAAATCATTAAAACAGGTCGGGGGAATCGCATAAAAGAAATTCCAAGGCAGACGACAAAGACCGACTTACCTGGATTGATCACTTTAAATGGACGAGGCACCGAGAGCTCCGCTTTCGCCAACTCCGTCCTTCAGTGATTTGCGCCACCCACGATCAAAAGGGTCGATTTTTGCGAGATCTCTGAGTCTCTCCTCGAACTCGGCAGTAAGCTTAGGTTCCTTCTTTCGCCGGACTATAAATAGCAAAAGTTCTGACCTGCTAGCTAAAGAAAAGACCAACAGTTATGAGGCAGTAAACTTATGATAGGCAGAAATAACACGGTTCGGGACAGTCGTCCTGTCGATTTTCGACTCCAAACAGAAGTCGGCCGACTCCCAATCACCTCCGACCCAAAACCATTCCTCTTGGAAATCATGTAGCGTGTCGAGAATCCCAGTGATCAATTGACCGGCTTTCAATTCGCTCTGCGCTTTGGCAGCACAGAAAAAACAACCGGTGGGCAGAACACCATCACGTTCCCGGCTTCGCTTGAAAAAGAAAACACTCCGGAATTCGTCTATAGAGGGGAGCGGCAACTCTTTTTGGACACAAAGAATAATAAGACCGATGATCTTCTTCCAACTATCCGGAGTGATCTGGCTTATGCAGATTCCCCACTCCCGAAGGTAGTCGGTAATCATGTTGGAGAAAGGAAACCTCAGCCCCGAACTAACACTCTCAGCGAA